CAGATATTACTGCACTATTAATGTAGTATGTCTACATGTATAGACTATTGCTGTTTATTTTTTACATCTGTTTCTCTATTTTTGTATAATAGGTCTTATTAGTTTGCTATTTCGGCGTTCTTGTTGCCTACAATTTAACAGTGTTATTAACTAAGTTATTATTAGTTGCAACCGAAAGGTATGAAAATATTTTTAATATAATCAGAATAAGTTGTGAATCTTTGCTTGTACATTCACAGTTTGCCTAATTAAAGTTATCACAGTATATTACGAAATCTGACAAAAAAAAAAACAGTTGGTAAACCATAACGAACTCGACAGAGAAGTTAAATATAGATCCAAGTACCAATGCTAATTTTCAAAATATGGTAACCTTTAGAAAATATACGAAATATCTAGAGCTGTATTACAAATTAGATACAATTCTCCATTCCATAGTCCCTAACTTTTCTGACTTCACTTGCACTCTCGAACTCTACCAGGGCCTGCCATGGAAACGGTCTAATTCGAAACAGTTAAAAAATCTCTAATCTAGTGGAAATTTAAAAAAGAAAATTGTAAAACGTTGTTTATATGCATGGACCTAATACATGTATGCAATACGTATTAGGGCATTAAACTCCATGCTTTCAAAATTAACATTTGAATTATACACACATTAAAGGACGTAAGGAGTCGGTTTCTTACAGTACTTGTGAGCGGGGATATTCAGAAATCTAATGCTCTTAAAAGTACACTAATATAATATGACATAATGTACAATAAATCCAATCAGGAGAAAAAATGGAGGAAGTAAAACGTATTTTCGTATCATTTGATTTACCTACTTACACCCCCTCTCTCCTGGGGATTGAAATATAGTTTTGAGATTATAAAGTAAAGTGAAGATTCAATCAATGTATATATTGATGAAAGGTTATGTCTAGAGTGATTATTGATATTAGAAAGTAAAATATTGGTTTCAGTAGATCGACTGACGTCAATGCTGCTGGAAATGTCACGACTCTTTACCCTTTTATTTCATAAGTTTGTTGACGTAAGGATTTTAAATGACGGTAAACAACTAGTCGCTGATGGATTTCATGCGTAAAATGTTACAGAGAATCATATAGAATTGGTTCAGAAAAAATAGTAAACTATTATAATATATCTACGATATCAGATTTAGGTGATCAGATTTTCATCTCGTTTTAATAAAGGACCCTTGACTGACTAGATTAGGGCCTATAGGGCCTACGCAATCTCAATCTCAACACAGAAACCCATTCGAATAAGAACAGTTCTCTGTAGCTTTGAGCAGTCATGTTAGATTTTTAATTGTCTTAAAGCTGAAAGATATTCAATGGACCTGCTTATAATCAAGCACAGTTGAAACTATTTTGTGTTTCGGTGATTAAGTTCCATACACACTATACGTTTGTAGATGATGTTTTCAGTTTACAAAGGAATACTGCATAACAGTCATAGAAAGTATCTAATAACATTTCCACAATTGAAAGCTTTTTATGGCGTAAAAACCCTTTAAAATCAATGTCATATAACTACACTTGAAATCAATGGTTGCTCATTGCTTCCGTGCCATAATCTGCTTGCTATTTGGACACATAATTTAGTACGTAATATGCCATGGCTTGGAGCCTATTTTAGAGGAAGTAAGATCTGAATGTAGGCCAATTCTTCACCAGGTTATTAGGCTATCTGACATGGTCGATGCCTTGTTTATCATGGATACCCAATTGTACTGAATCTTTATCGTACTTTAACATCTGTCAACAACGTGTTTATTGTATTTTCAATAATTTCCAAATTTTCATCCTTGGCAATTCCACCAAGTTTCCATGGCAGTTGATTATTGAGAATAAAATAAAATACTGTTCACAAAGCACAAACTCGGCCCCTTGCCTATATTCTGTTATATTTTAGGATAGGTTTTATTCTGTGGTGATAGGAAATAAACATTTGCACCACGTTTTGTGAAATTTGTCAAGAATTGTGTCTTCTTGAGTGCAAACAAGTTAGGAATCGAACGCACTTTCATATATAACAAGAGCAGTAATTTGTGTTCAATATTTTTCGATCTTTTTGAGTTTTCATACTTGGACGATAACAGAAACGTACGATTCTCCTATGTATATCACCAAAAAGGTTTATATCTGTCTTCACTACTAGAACATTATTTACTATAGATATCTTGTATTATAAGATATCGTATGATTATTTACATTTTTTCGACGTCAAGGCCGGTAACTGCGAGAATGTCGATAAAGGCCCTGTATCCTATCAATTAAAAAATTCTTTGAATTAGTGGAGTCGGATTGTAATTCTATTAAGTTGTACGGGTATTGGATATTGGTCTTTACGGATGTTGAAAATATGAATTTAGACTCCCCTGCCCCTTTAATCCTTCATAGTCTAGTAGTTTTATAGAGCAAAACATAGCATTTCAATACAATAAACTGATACATGTAGGCCGCAAAGCCCTATTTCCGATACTCAAATAGTCTACAAAAAAGCATATTAGGACTAGGGCGCAAAACGTAATCCCACCAAACACAAAACATTGAAGAAACGTTTTTTAGAGGTTTAAAAAATAAGTCGGAAAAACGTTTCAGAAATGTTTTTAAAATGCTAAATTGAAAAGTTTTCTGTATCTATTGTAGAAATGTTTCTGCAAACACCTCAACACCTGCTCAAATTTGTAATGATAGCTAGAATGAAATTCGTGTGCAATTTATGCTTTCCCCCCTAGATCTAGGCCTAGGCCTACTGCATAAGATTTGTTTCGGTGACCTTGCTTCAGTCGCCTTTAGTTAGGCCTACGTCAGTCGGCACGCGATCTTGTCTAAAATGGCGTTCACGTCTTTCACAATGACAATAACAGCTATGCAATTTACAAACAAAAACATGTCATTACATCGTTAAAAGTGTAATTGAATAAGCCATTTAGCGGTGATTTAAAATCCGCGTGCGTTTCCGAGAAACGGTAGTTTGAAATCGAATATTATTGTCGGCCATTTTCTTTTATCGCTGCATGGTATATAGGTTTAGATTCGATTCAATAATATATCTTTGTTTGCAATTTAGGTATGAATTAACAAGTGTCTGAGCAACTTAAGGCAATACAACACTGACAAACCATGCTTCATGTTAATAAAGAGACATCAACATAATTTAACATCGTCATGTTCTTGACTATGAATTATTTTGTTGCAATGTATATTTTGTATGATGACCATGCATATTATAATTGTCTTTATCCTGCTAATACTATTATGTTGTTCGACTATCTTGATAATGACATGGATTCCATGCTAAACTGGGTATTACTTTTGATCATTTCAGAAACCTGATGACCATATCACTAGAAGAATTGGAATCTGATTAAATGAATATGATTGATTTTAGTCCTGTCGTTACTGTTTTTTTGTTGCTTAATAAGTTATTAAAAGATTGTAAAGAGGTTTTTTAGATTTTGTATGTGTATCCGGGACACTGATAGGTTCAGCTTGTTTAAAAAGGTTTGTTAGAGGTTGACAAAAACATTTATCATAAAACCTTATTACAACGTTTTCTGAATGTTCCAAAATAACGTTTCTTCAAAATGTTTTTGAAACATTTATAAGAGTCTACAAATTTAGGTTTTTAAAACGTTGAATTGTTTTCTGGGATATTCTTAAAATCGGCATTTCGATAGTCATGCATATAATGCTCTATTGTATTCCTTATTAGTGTGCGACAATATTCAAATCGAAGAAAAAGTTTATTGCTATATACCAGTATGAACTATTATATCACAAACAGTATACATTGTGTTGTTAAATTATGTCATGGTGACAGACGAAGTCATCAAAACGCATGCGTAAATACAGAAAGTGTATTAGTAGGTCAACTGAGATGATGTAAACAAGTTGAATGTAGGTCAGTAGATACACCAATACAGAGGCTGTGGTCAATACTCGATCTAAAAATAATTCAAATATTCTTTGATTCACCTTCAAGTAATCGTTCAATCACTAACTGATATTGTTTAAATTTCTTCTTCACTCTATATTTCTAATGACTCTAATCGAGTATTGAAAGAGAATTGTTATAGTTGAGAGAATATAACAAAGGTCATTTATCTTGATGTAGGTTAATGGTTCACAAGGTAAACACGAGCCGGGAAAGTATGACACAACAATTTCTAGATTTTAATTCGAGAGTTTGAAGGACATTTACACTTCAAACATATTCCTGCGTTTTGGTTTCAAGGCCGATTTCTGATATATTGATAGAGGCTTCATCAATTGCTTTTATTTGTCTGATAAACAAGGCCACTGAGTACGGAAACTATGTCTTGGATTTGAAAGAAGGGCCCTTACTATCACCAACAAAGTTCGTAAAGGCAGAAAATCATCCATTTCGTAGTATCATTATATTGACGCAGTAATAAGAAAGTTTTCTGATTGAGTATAATTAAAAAATGTTCTGACTCAGTATAAGGAAGTTTTCTGACTCACTTATTAAAAAGTGTTCTGACTCAGTAATAAGAAAGTTTTCTGACTCTGTAATTAAAAAGTGTTTTAACTCAGTAATAAGAAAGTTTTCTGACTCAGTAATTAAAAAGTGTTCTAACTCAGTAATAAGAAAGTTTTCTGACTCGGTAATTAGAAAGTAAACTGACTCAGTACTTAAAAATTTCTTGACTCAATAATTAAAAAGTGTTTTGATTAAGTAATCCGAAAGAGTGCAGAATCAGTATTTTAAAAGTTTTCCTACCCAGTAATTAGAAAGTGTTCTCACCCAGCTACCAGAAAGTGTTATGATTCAGTAATAAGAAAGTATCCTGACTCGGTAATTAAAAATGAGTAAGTGTTCTGACTAATCAGAAAGTGATTTGACTTCGTAATCAGAAAGTGTCCTTTATTAGAGAGTGTCCCGACTCAGAAATAGAAACGGTTTTGGCTCAGTAAATAGGGAGTTGTCCAAGTCAGTAGTAAGAAAGAGTCATGACTCGTTAATCAGGAAGTGCTTCGACTCACATTATGGTATTTTGACTCAGTTTCGGTTATTAGAAAGTGTCTCGATGAAGTAATTGGGACGTATTCTGATTCAGTAATGAGAAAGAGTTCTAATTCAGTAATTAGAAAGTGTTCTGACTCAGTAATTAGAAAGTATTCTAACTCAGTAATTAGAAAGTATTCTGATTCAGTAATTAGAGAGAGCTCTGATACAGTAATTAGAAAGTATTCGGATTCAGTAATTAGAAAGTATTCTGATTCAGTAATTAGAGAGTGCTCTGATTCAGTAATTAGAAAGTATTCTGACTCAGTAATTAGAATGTGTTCTGATTCAGAAATTAGAAAGTGTTCTGATTCAGAAATTAGAAAGTGTTCTGATTCAGTAATTAGAAAGTACTCTGATTCAGTAATTAGAAAGTATTCTGACTCAGTAATTAGAAAGTATTCTGATTCAGTAATTAGAAAGTATTCTGATTCAGTAATTAGAAAGTACTCTGATTCAGTAATTAGAAAGTATTCTGATTCAGTAATTAGAAAGTATTCTGACTCAGTAATTAGAATGTGTTCTGATTCAGAAATTAGAAAGTGTTCTGATTCAGAAATTAGAAAGTGTTCTGATTCAGTAATTAGAAAGTACTCTGATTCAGTAATTAGAAAGTATTCTGACTCAGTAATTAGAAAGTATTCTGATTCAGTAATTAGAAAGTATTCTGATTCAGTAATTAGAAAGTACTCTAATTCAGTAATTAGAAAGTATTCTGATTCAGTAATTAAAAAGTACTCTGATTCAGTAATTAGAAAGTGTTCTGACTCAGTAATTAGAAAGTGTTCTGATTCAGTAATTAGAAAGTGTTCTGACTCAGTAATTAGAAAGTATTCTGATTCAGTAATTAGAAAGTATTCTGACTCAGTAATTAGAATGTGTTCTGATTCAGTAATAAGAAAGTATTCTGATTCAGTAATTAGAAAGTATTTTGGTTCAGTAATTAGAAAGTATTCTGATTCAGTAATTAGAAAGTACTCTGATTCAGTAATTAGAAAGTATTCTGATTCAGTAATTAGAAAGTGTTCTGATTCAGTAATTAGAGAGTTCTCTGATTCAGTAATTAGAAAGTATTCTGACTCAGTAATTATAATGTGTTCTTATTCAGTAATTAGAAAGTGTTCTGATTCAGTAATTAGAAAGTATTCTGATTCAGTAATTAGAGAGTGCTCGGATTCAGTAATTAGAAAGTATTCTGATTCAGTAATTAGAAAGTACTCTGATTCAGTAATTAGAAAGTATTCTGACTCAGTAATTAGAAAGTATTCTGATTCAGTAATTAGAAAGTATTCTGATTCAGTAATTAGAAAGTACTCTGATTCAGTAATTAGAAAGTATTCTGATTCAGTAATTAGAAAGTGTTCTGACTTAGTAATTAGAAAGTATTCTGATTCAGTAATTAGAAAGTATTCTGATTCAGTAATTAGAAACCATTCTGATTCAGTAATTAGAAAGTGTTCTGATTCAGTAATTAGAAAGTACTCTAATTCAGTAATTAGAAAGTATTCTGATTCAGTAATTAGAAAGTACTCTGATTCAGTAATTAGAAAGTGTTCTGACTCAGTAATTAGAAAGTGTTCTGATTCAGTAATTAGAAAGTACTCTGATTCAGTAATTAGAAAGTGTTCTGACTCAGTAATTAGAAAGTATTCTGATTCAGTAATTAGAAAGTATTCTGACTCAGTAATTAGAAAGTGTTCTGATTCAGTAATAAGAAAGTATTCTGATTCAGTAATTAGAAAGTATTCTGATTCAGTAATTATAATGTGTTCTTATTCAGTAATTAGAAAGTGTTCTGATTCAGTAATTAGAAAGTACTCTGATTCAGTAATTAGAAAGTGATCGGACTCAGTAATAGAAAGTG